CAGCGCCGCCGGGAACCCCTTCCTCCCCCCGCCCTCCGCCGCGGCCATTTCCTCGGACAAATAATGCCGGATGTTCTGCCGGGCCGAGCGGATCAGGGCTCCGTCAATGTCCAACCCCACCACCCTGCTGGGCCCCCAGCGTTTGGCGATGCTCAGCGTCACGTGGCCCACGTTGCACCCCACATCCAACACCTCCTTGCCGGCGAACCACTCGGCTTTCATCGCCTTCAACCTGCCGTCCTCGCAATCCGGGTTGCGGTAGCCGTAATATTTACAATAATTCCCGTATTGGAACTTTTGGGTTTTACGCCTCCGAGCCGCCGTTGTCGCCGCCGAGCTTTTGCTGCCTCCGTTGCCGTTTTTCCCTTTCTCCGGTGACGCCGCGGGGCGGCCGGGCTCCGATTTACTGCAAGTCCTCCTCCTCTTGCGGTGCCGGCTGTTGGAGCAGGCGGTGCTGCCGGTGCCGCCGCCGGCCGCGTTGCCGTGCTCGGTTCGGCTCTCCGGCTCCGCGCCGCTGTTGGCCGCGCCGCTGGTGCTGTTGTTGGCTCGCTGCTGGCCGCGGTGGCGATGCCGACGCCTCGTCGCTTTGGCCGGGGAAGCCAAACGGAGCCCGTCGTCGTCCCCCCCACCCGGGGCGTTGAGGCTGAGCGGGTCGGTGATGTCGCGGGGGATGAGGATCTCCACGGGGTCGCGGCCGCGGGCGGGGAGCGGGGAGGATTGCGGGGTGCGGGCGTTCAGAGCTCGGCTCACCTCCTCGTCCAGGAGGCTGTTGAGGTTCAGCGGGTCGAAGATGTTTCCCCCCAGCAGAAACTCGGACGGCAGCGCCGGGTCGCATTCCGACGTCGCTCTCCGGCGCCGTTTCCACGGCGGTTGTTTCGGACCGGCGCAGCTGCTCCGCCGCTTCCCCCCCCCGCCCCCTCCTCCTCCTCCTCCTCCTCCTGCCGCTCGGAAGCCGTTCCGCGGTCTCGGGGCCTCCCCGCCGCCCTCCCCTTCCTCACGGCCTCTTCGCCGCGGAGGCCCGGTGGGAGCGGCGGGGCCCGGCGGAGGTCCTCCCGGCGGTTCTCCCGACCGCAACGGAGGCGGAGGGGCCCGGAAGGCGTCGGGTTCGGCAGCCATCTCGATCATGGCCCGCACGCCGCTCCGCCCCGCCTCGCCGCTCCGCCCACCGCCGTTCACCCGGAGCCGGAGCGGAGCCGTGCGGCGCTGCCACCTCCCTCCCGCGATGGCAGGCGCGTCGCACTCTGCGCCGCCTTATATAGACGACGGGCGGGGCTAGGAGACGCCCCGCCCACGGGCGGAGGGGCGGCCAATGGCGTGTGGCGCGCGGAAGGCGGGTTGCGCCAATCGGACGGAGGCGGAGCGAGCGGCGGCCAATGAGAGGAAGTGGCGCGCGGAGGAGGGGGGCAGCGACCAATGGTTGCGCAGCGGGTCGGGGGCCTCGCGGGGGCCTTCCAGAGCGGGGCTGCCCTCGGCGATGCCTGCGCGAAAAGCTCGAGCTACCCCGCAGCTCCCGGCCGTTTCTCGCAGTTGCTGCCGTTGCCCCCCGTTATCCCGGACGGTGACAGAGCGGAGCGGAAGTCGTCGCTCGGCAGTGGCTGCCCCTCGCCACGGCGCATGCGCAGACACTCAGCGCACACGGCGCACGCGCCGCTCTCCGGCTCTCCGCGAGCGCTGCGCATGCGCACCGGCGGCGCGACGCGGGAGGAGGGCGGGAGGCGCATGCGCAGTGCGCGCGCGCGCGGC